AGTTAAGAGTCTGCGCATGCGTGCCATGGCGACCTACGTCACAATTGTTAAGAGCAGGATAGCTTCATTTTCTGTTTCTTTCTACAAAGGCGTAGGACTAAGGGAGTAATTACCTGTCTTTAAATTGGGATATTTCCTACAGGTAAATATTTATAAATWTAAATTYAAYAMCAAAATTTAAAAAATAAATTAAAAATTCATATGAAAAAGAAAATTTTTTTAAATAACCYGTTTTAAGCGAAATATCGAGCAAAAACCGTTTTCACCCCTTGATTTTTAATAGAAGGGATGAAAAAAAAAATTTTTTGTTTCCCTACGATTGTTCTTTGTAGTTTTTTAAATATAATTAAAAAAAAAAAAATTAAAAAAGTCCAATTTTTATATTTTTTATTGAATTTTCATTTTTTGAGTACTTTGAACCGTCGTAGTGGTGAAAGTGTGCGTTTTAGGGAAAAAATGGTCTGATATAGATAGGCCTAAAATTTTATGCTCTACAACTTTTATTTGAAACTTTTTTTGATATTTTTAACATATAATCCAAAAATCGTATTTTGGGATAGTTTTTAATTTTTTTCACCCCTTTCCCGGTGGTTGAGAACTTTTTTACTTTGCCCACAGTATTGTACGCATTTTTCTGATAATTTCCATATTTTTTCTGCCGTATAGCTCAAAAACCCGTTTTCAGGGCTATTTTGACTGGACTATTTTCTATCGACAAATATTCTACAATTTTCGTCTCTATCTATGGCTATCGCATTCAGCATTCCATCTTGATGGATAAAATTTTACAAATATTAGTTTTTGTTAGCTACCTACACCCTAAGATCAGTTCCTTTTCATGAGAAAAGAATTATAAAAAACAGGGAAGGTCTGTGGAAATTCGATCTACATTTATGTGGGGTGCGAGAATATGAGTGWGAACACTGAWGCATRAGTGGGCCAGAGGGTATCGGGTATAATCAAGCCGAAGATAAACAATGTAAAATAAATAGTTRMATATCGATAGTGAGAGCGTCGCACAAAGAAGTAGATTAAAGAAGGGAAACCAAGAGGCAGTCATCGTTTAGTAGCCGAGYAAAGAAGGCGTTTTTTTTTCATCACTCTGTATTTTTACTTCTTTATATTAAATATATTGTATATCCGTGAAGAGAGGTTTTTCTTTCTACATAAACCTATTAATAACACCGYGGAATTCTTTCCTTTTTACTTGTTAGATATCCTTTAAGAAGACTAACAGGAGAAGGGGAATCCCACATTTATTATCTTTATTATCGATGAGATAATATTCATGCCTATAGTTTTTTTTTTACAACGTGTCATATCTTTTCTATTTAAAAATGTTTCTATTTTATTGAAAAATTAGTATTAAATTCATTATTTCGCAAATATTATAATAAATAATTATGAAGTACATACAATATATAATAATTTTATTGTCTAAAGTATTAAAAAAAAAATAAGGATTACCAGATACATCAGAGAAAAAGAATTAGAGAATACTGTGGAATAAATGAGGAGCAGCTGACAAATTCCATTCAAAAGCAAGTAAATTACTGT